ACTGTCATGATTATTTGTCTGTGATGAGAACAAAACCTTATGAATCTATATATTATATGTAATTTTAAATTATGGACAATAAAATATGCACCAGTGCCCTATTGGCACGTTCATTTCACACTTTTTTATTAATTATTGAAAAAACAATAAATAGATCTCAGTTATTTGCATAAATAATTCAATAACTATATTGTTTTATCCCTATAAATGAATGCATACACAGAACTTATAGGGTGTATTTATAGCTTAATAGAAATTCCTTAAACTTAAGAATGAAGAAATATGGGGTTAAGAGATTGTTGAATGATAACAAGAAACAAGATTAAAGATAACTTTACTAGTCATTCATCTTAAATGGATAGGTTATTGTTTTGTATAGGTTTTAAAAGTTAAAGCTTAAGAATTGTGCCTGCTCCGATAATGACTATTCCATATGTGTTATGAGAATAAAATTCTTAATTTGAATTATTCTCTTTTGTGATTATTTGTTTTTTAAAAAAACAGAAGTCACCGTCCAATTCCGATGAGAACATTATTGTATGATGATTCTATTAGCTTAAATTAAAAATTCATTAGTCAAGTAATCCTCCAAAAAAACAAACAATGGTACTTTCGCTTATTAGTCAAGTCATTACCTAAGCACTTTTCTCGTAAAACATATACATATATATGCATATATATATATATAACTTGCTATTGAATATTTGATTAAAGAAAAGCAATGATACCTAAAAGGCTTATTATCTGTAGCGTGGTGAAAGGTGGATTTAAATTTTTTTTTTGAGTAGTGTAATAATTAAAAAATATAAATATATTAAAATTTATATATTAAAAGTTTAATATTAAATTAAAAAATATAAATTTAATATATTTTTTAATACTTTAAAGAAAAATATTTAAAATAATTATAATTATTTATGACTATTTTTCATATTTTTAAAACAGTGCATGAAAGCATAAGTATAAACACTATCAAATACATATTTTTCAATACATGTCACTAAGCAATCATTCATCCAAAATTACTACTCATTAGCATAAACTAAGATATTAGAATTAAATAAAATATAATCTTACATATCAAATTATCAAGTTCAATAACTAACAATATAATAATTTTCTATTCATTGATTAAAACTAAATATAAACATCTACAAACAACATAAAGTTAAACATAAAAATTTAATAATCAAATAAAATATCCACAAAATTAATCAAAAAAATTATAATTTTAAGATATTATTTAACTTACAATTCTATTTTCTATTAGCTAAATTTTAATTATAAACTCAAACTATCAATTAATCAAAGAAATATTTAGATATAAGGTATTTAAAATTTAATTTGAGTTAAAAATTACTTACAATTGAAGTTTAGATTAGATGAATTGTTTTGAGATAGTAAAAAATATAGACAAAAACGAAAAAGAGGAAGAATTTGAATTTTTAAAGATGAATAGTAGTTTGAGTTTTGACTCTTTCAACAAAATTTTAAATTATAAAATTTTTTTTTAACTTGTATATAGTATTAAAATATTAATATATAAATTAACTTTTGATAAATTATTTTTACTTTAAATCTTTCATTTTTTTATAAAATTATAAAAAAATTCGTTAATATATTAATTACCTTAAACTCTAAATAATATAAAAACTAAAACTTTTTAGGTAACTGTGTCCGCCCATGCGCGTGACATGTAATCATCCCTAGATTTCTTTTCCATGTGGCAGTTTGATTTTGCTTTATCAAACCAAAAACAAATAAAAGGTACATAAATAAATAAATATATATAATGATAATTTGATAGTAAAAGGAATTCAACTTGATATTTCCCGTTTGTTTTCATTTTTTCTCTTGCTATATTATCAATAAAAAAGCTATATTAAGAGGAAAAAAAAGTAAATAACCAAAAAGTATTATGTGTTTTGAGAGTAATAAATTGACTTTTTAAAATTTTCCATTTAACTATCCTATGTTTTTGGTTAAAATTTTCTTTACACTGTTAACAAAATAATTGTGACATCTCTTATTTGGTTAATTAATATTAATAATAAAGGAAAATATTAAAAATTAGAAAAAAATAATTAACACAACTATTAAGTTAAAAAAAAAACAACAAAAATAAACATACTATAGTTAAGTGTCAAATTTAAAATTTAAAAAGAAAATTTATTTACCTAAAACTACATGGTACTTTTTTTATATAATTTATATAAAAACAGCAAAATTGACTTTTGAGAGAGCTACTTATTGTGGCCAGGTTCAGTTTTCTTTGGTGATACAAGAATCTAAAATAGTTACGTACATACAAATATATATAATTAATTATATATATTTGTGTGTTTGAGAGAGAGAAAATGTCCATGCATGCATCTTATAGTTTTTTCTTCTTAAACAATAAGTGACAAAAATATGGTAAGATCAAATTCTGCTATCGTTTTCTTCAAATTATTTATGTATACATTTGAATATATATTCTTGTCCTCGTAATTTATAATCCTAAAGGATGAAAGGAACAAGCCCAACTTCAAATATAATATCAACTATACTGAAAATCAACTTTATGATATTCATGTTAGAATTTTTGTTACGTGAGTTACTATTAATTGATGATTTTAATTTTAAAAAATAGATTAATAATTTAATTTTATTATGAGACAAAATATGAAAGTTTATTTAATATTAAAATTATCAATTAATGATGAGTTTTGCAAGTTTAATTAGGTCCGTCTAGATCTTGACCCAATAAACTTTTAATTGAGAGAATTTTAAGTTTGTGTGTGTGTGATCGGTCAAAGAAAAATGTGAAGAAGAAGACTTAACTTTCACAATAAATTCTCTATTATTCCACTATTGTTAATAATTATTTAAAAACAACATAAATAGATATACAATGACAATTAAATGATTTTAATGTTCTAAATGTTCACAACAATCCATGCATGACTACTTCTTTGATTCTCAAAACACGATTTAGTTAATCCAAATTCATAATGATCGGGGGTTTAACAATATCATCTCAATTAAAATCACCTTTAACTCGTAAATCTATTAACAAATTTACTAGTCAAAGTTTAGAGGAGAGAAGAAATATATCCAAGCCATGCATTCTTGCCTTAATCACAATACAGCTACAGCCTGCACGATATTCCTTGTATTCGAACAGCAAACGAACGAACGATCTTCCATCGGCATAGTATGCCATTTGTCAACTTACGACGCTTCGCCATACCATGATCCGAGCATGTGCATTACATGCCAGTGAAACTCCGGAAGAAGAAAGTGGAGTAATATTTTATTAAGGAAAAAAAATTGTGGCTTTCCAGAAGTGGATAGGTGAAATTCGATCTTACTCTATTTTTTTTTTTAAAGAAAAATTCTTATGCTTTCGCTTCCTCTTTTTTAAGAAAGAAGTCGTGCTGGATCTGTTCTACCGTTTCTTTAAATGGAAAGACGTCTTTTATTTTAATCCCTTTGCTTTAAATAAAAAATTAAGCCTCGATTACATTTTCTTTTTGCCTCCAAAAGCCACTCGCTACATGTGCAACGTGGAGGCCCTCTTCTTTCAAACTAGGAAAAATCAAATCAATCCGCCAATCAAGGAGCCGAAGCGCAAAATCAGATGCAAGTAGGGTCACTTTGGGTTCATGACGATTGGATTGAGAGAAAAAACCAAATCGCGGCCAATAAATTTTGGTCTGGCTTAAAGCAGCAAAAGCATTGGTTCTACTACGTAGGGTCATTAATGGAAAATTTAAACTTAAATTAAAAAAATAATATAAGATTTATTTAATCATGGTATTTCTCAGGAGGTAGTCATGTGGACCACATGATTTACATGGATTAATACATTGAATCCATCATATGAAACCAACCGTCCTACTGGTGTTAATTAATTTTGCTGGAAACAAGATCAATCGAGAGAAGTGTGAGGTATCCTTTTTTTGAGTGTAAAGGAAGAGGTCGCAGTTGCAAGGCTATGAGTAATTGAGCATGCTTACTTTCTAGTTATTTGGTGGTCGATAAAAGTAGTTCATTCATTATTTTATTCGTATCAAACAAATATTAAATTCCTACAATCCCAAGTTTGTTGAGAAAATCATTTCGACAATGAACTCTAACGTGCGCTTTTTAAGTTCATGAAAGATGCTTGGAATATTAAATTAAAACGAATAAAAAGTACTATGATAATAAGACATTATATGTGCATAATATTTAAGATATTGTTATTATGAACATTTTAGTTTTTAATATAAAGTTATAAAACACAAAGGTTCACCTTAAATTTTAGTGAAAAAAACATTCATCAGGTTTATGTTAATTTGATACCAAATTTAATAGATACTATAAAGTTTTATTTATTTTATATCCTCTTCAAATGGTTTAAAAGGATCGAAATTGGATGCTAAATTTATCAAATTAATAGTTACGTGGAATAATGCAAAATTTTTTGTAATCGTTATCCAAGAAATGACGCAAAGCATGCAACAATTTGATCTCTGTTTAAGTCAAAAGAATTTGGATAAACAAATTGGCTTAGTTAAGACCAATCCTTCAATTATTCCAGTAGTCAAACAGCAGGATCTAGATTAAAGTCTAAACACACCCTAAATCACCCAGAAGGGGAAATTAACGGATAAACAACAACCTTATTTTAATCAAATGACGATAAATTAGGAAACCAAAGCCAAAAGTTAGATGGCAGCTTCACACTTTTCCAAGTGATGAAGAAAACCTTCCGCCAAAACTAACAAAGGAGGCCAAAAAAAAAAAAGGGAAAACAAAATGAGGTCCGTCAGCTTTTACAGCAAGGACAACAAATCAAACCGTCTAAAATATAAGACCCTGCGAAGCTGTACAACGAACAGGTCGCATGCCGTTACTCAAAGTGACAGAAAAACTGTCCAATCCCGTCGTTGGAAATAAAATCCAAGGACTTTCTCGTCATTTCAGATTCGCTTTTTCGCGATACGATATAATCTCCTCCCATGCCGGTACCATGCTCCTTACCCCAGACAGCTTACAAAGCTCCAGTTTTTATAATCACGAAACCCCGCGGGCTTCCCATTGCCTATCCTATGCCTATGTGCGCACCACCTCCTCCCCTCCCATCCTTACGTGTGCTCTAATCACATGAGGGTGCACGCATCCAGGCACCCCGCTCTGGATAGCCTCAAGCGCACTACTCCCTCCCTTCCCCTTCGCTGTATTTTTCTTGTACTTCATTTTCCACCGTTTGTTTCTCTCTGCACTTGAACAGAAAAAATAAAACTTAAAAAAAGCTCCGTCCCCTCTCCTTCTCTCTCTCTCTTTCCTTCCAAATCTAAAACCGTTCGTGCCCTCGGTTTGCCTTTGGTTATATCGATATTAAAAGGCAAACCAACGATACGTTTTCTTGATCTAGCTTTTGTTCCTTCTTTCACTGATATCATTCTTTCAAGCTTCTCTTTTTTTCAGAGCTTGCATCTGGATTCTAGGATTCTTTGATTTGGAGGAGGTTGTACGGAATGGGCGAATAGTTTGGAGAGAGTTAAGGGAGTTAACACGTGCGGGCCGGCGAGGAAGAGAAAAAGTGAAAGAAAGATAGTGATCTCGTGAGGCCCGTGAGAGAAAATGCCTCACCGGACGACTTACTTCTTCCCTAGGCAATTTCCCGATCGTGGGTTCGATGCATCCTCCAAACAACTATTGGATCACGAGAACAAAGTCGCCAAGGAAGTAACATCGACAACAGCTGGAGCCACAACCACAACACCGACAGCAGCAAGCACCTTCAACCCTGTTACTGAAAATGACCGTAATAAGTCAATCTCAAGGACACCTCTGAAAGACTTCACAGCTCCAGCTGCCAAGACCAACAACTCTCCCCTATCAGATCTTTTCACGGACGAAAAGCTTCACAGCAAAAAGCTACAGCTCGCCGCTTTCCGCGATTGGTTCGTCGAGAGAAAGGCTACTACTGATAGATCACGTCACGTGAAACCATCCTCTCGACGTCTCTCTTCGACTACTGACGAAGATCGCGAGTTGTTATTACCTCCGGAGCCAGCACCGCCCCCTTCACCGCCTCCTCCTCCTCTCCCTCTTGCTCCGGAAACCACCATCGTCATCAATGACCGCAGCGTTGACCGCAACTTTGACCGCCAGGTGTCGCTGCCGAGGTTCTCAAGCGGTAGTAGTTATGCAGGGAGTTTGTTTTCTGGCACGACATTGGATGGCAACTTGTCGAGTGAGGTTAAAGATACATGGACTAAGGACACGTCCTCGTCGTTGCCTGTGCCGGCGACACGGGAAGTCGTGGAACCGGAACCTGAGGCAGAGGAGAGTAAAGATAGCTTGGCGCTCAAGTCAAGGGAGAGTTATTATTTACAGCTTATGTTGGCTAGGAGACTTACTTCTCAAGCAAGTATCCTCAGTGAACCCTTGCTTTTACAAGACTATTGTGGAGCTGATGTCGTTGATGCCGAGACCGTTTCTTATCGTCTATGGGTATCTTCTCATCATTTTCGATTGAATGAATTTTAATTTCACTCGTGGAAAATGTTTTTATATCCAAAATTTATGAGATTCGAAAACTATTGCATTTCTATGAATTCAAACCGAACTCAATAACTTTTCATATGTAATACTAATTCTTTTTGAAGGTTTTGATGTCTTAAGGATTTGGTATTATATGTGATCGGTTAATATTCAATTTGCAGGTTAGTGGCTGTTTATCTTACAGTGATAAGATATCGGATGGGTTTTATAATATTCTTGGGATGAACCCGTATCTATGGGTGATGTGTAATGAGTTTGAAGAAGGAAGACGCTTGCCACCTTTGATGTCTCTCAGAGAAATTGAGCCCAACACGACATCCATGGAGGTTGTTCTTGTGGATAGACGTGGGGACACACGCCTCAAGGAGCTTGAGGATAAAGCGCAGGAGTTATATTGTGCTTCAGAAAGTACCTTAGTGTTGGTGGAGAAACTTGGACAGCTTGTTGCTATATACATGGGGTAGGGCTTCACATGTTCATGATTCATTTTTTTCCCACTGTTTCTTTTTTTGTGTTCGTTGTGTTGAATTGTTCTATATTTAGGGGAACTTTTCCAGTGGAGCAAGGGGATCTTCACAAACGCTGGAAAATGGTGAGTAGGAGATTGAAGGATTTGCAGAAGTGTATCGTGCTCCCTATTGGCAGCCTATCCATGGGACTTTGCAGGCATCGTGCAATTCTGTTTAAGGTGACAAAAAATGGCTTTTCTGGTTTTACTTTTTACCTTCTCACTCGTACATTTGCTCTATACCTAACACCAATTTACACACACACAAAAAGAAAACGTTGGAGGTGGTTTAAGGATCTGCTCCTTTTATTGGTATAAACTATAAAGAAGATGGTTTTGATGGGAAGAATTTAGGGTCTAAAATTGACAAGCTCTTACTGATCCTTGTAAAGACAGTTGTGAATCATTCTTATGCAAGTAATAGCTGCACTTGTACGAATATGGGTAGAAGTGATTTCAACACTCTCTCGATCTGTTGTACTTTAAGTAAGATGCTGAATGGTCTAAATCTCGGATTAAACTTCTAGTATTATGTTCTCTGTAGAATAATGGTGAAAAATATTTGTGATTTTGGTGTGGCAGTGACTTTACTGCTTATCGAGTGTACAAAAATAAATTAATTAAGATAGTAGTTTGAGCAAGCCAGTATAATGAGCTGAAGTGGGAGTTTAGCAACAGCTATTTAATCTGTGCTGGGATGTAAAACAGGAGGGCAGATTGTGACTTGGTTGATCTTGGAAAGCTTGGAAGAGGGTTGGCATTCTTTGCTTTGAATAACCAAACCCTAGTTCTAGTGAAAGGATGTCTATCTGTGGTCTTAGTTACCCCGGTAAATAAACCCTATTCTTTGTCTATATAAAAAGAAATTAAATGCTACAACTATCTTGTGTACTAAGAATGATTTAGCATCTTTCATTTTGTTTAAGTATATGATTGTTCTTTCTTTTTTTTTCTTTTTAATAGAAGACAGGAAGTTGTTGGTTTCTTTTATTCATTCTCTTCTGGAATGAAAAAGCTTCTTGTTTGTATATATTTTGTTTGTACATAAAGATTTGGGTTGGCAATTTTTTTCTTGATCCCACGCAAGTGTTTCAAAAGTTGTTCTATTGTTGGAAATGCCTCTGTTGTATAGGTAACAAGGACTGTGATGTCCTAAAGTACAATAATTTTTTAAAGCATATGAATGTCTTAACGGGGGGCATTGGTAGTGCAAACGAATTAGAAGCATCAGTGACACCCAGAACCATAGCAGTCCCTTATGAGTACACTCTATTCCATGATCATTCAGGGAGGTATTTGTAGCCTGCCGTGGTGAATTGACATGGTTCTTGTGAAATATTTGATTCTTATGGGGTCTTTATGGGAGGATCAGGCCAATTACTTTTTCTGATGATTACATTTTTTCACCCTTTTTTTTAAAATGATTTTCGTTTTCTGAAATCAGATGTTAAATAATATGACCTTAGCTCTAAAACTTTTATATCTTTTCTCTTTTTCACAATTTAAAGGATTTAAAAGAAGATCTTATGAATAATCTACTTGCCATTGAGTGATGTACTGCATGAATTTGTTGACAGCTGTTGTTCACTTTATGGCTTTATGCTGCTAGACCTGTATATCAAATGCAAGAATGAGTGTTTCACCTTTTTGGTTTCTGTGTATATGTTGATGTGTGTATGTATTTGTGCACTTACGGCCTGGTCACCCTTCAAATGTAGATGTAAGATATTACGAGATGATCATTGTTTTTTGCAGAAGATGCATCTATTTTAGAATCCTTAACTAACATGGTTTTTTTTTTATATATATATATGAAGAAATTGGCAGATTATATAGGTTTGCCATGTAGGATTGCTCGAGGATGCAAATATTGTGCAGCAGATCATCGTTCTTCTTGCCTCGTCAAAATTGAAGATGACCGGCAGTCATCAAGGTAAGATAATCAACTGTTAGCTTGTATTTTTGCTAATAAAATGTTGGAAGCTAACAAAAATAGTTAGAAACAAAACCAAATCCAGGATTTTCCTTTTTTTTATGTCATGATTTAAATACTTGCATTTAGAAGATTATCTTTAATCTTGATTTTTTTTTTTGTTTGAGTGATCTAAATCTTTTAGAATTGATATCATCCTGGTTCTTAGCACCCCCTTATGATATTCTTGAACTTTGGTTTATTCTTATGTGTGGATATAGAAAGAAGCAAAAAACTTTTATCATTTTTGTGATAGAATTTCATTCAGTCTCCAAATGTTTTTTCTTCAAGATTTTCTCTTTCCTTTTTATGTTTTGTTGCTTAGAGATGAGTATACATTTTAACAGGGAATATGTAGTTGATCTAGTTGGGGAGCCAGGAAATATCCATGGTCCAGATTCCTCTATCAATGGAGGATTCCTTTCTTCAATGCCTTCACCCTTCCAAATTTCTCATCTAAAAGAATTCCATCAACCTTACATGGATAATGCATCATATTGTCAGACTGAAGACTCAAAGAATTCATGTTCTCCTTTTGAGAATCCTCTACATTCTGGTACGTCATGTTTTGGACGCAATTTCTGCAAAATAGATCAAACTGTTTAAAAACAAATTAAACAATGGAGATAATTCTCCTGTAGGTGGCATTGAAAAATGTCAAAAGTTGAAGGACAATGGTTTGCTTGAAAATCAAAAGGTGTCTCAATATGCACCAATTGATGAAGATCATCTTGGAAAGGAATCATCTTTGATGCCTTTTGAAACTGCTGCTGTTGCAACAATGCATGAAAATTCTAGGCTCGGCGTAGACAAAGTCACCATGGAACGAAATCTTAGAAAAGAGCTGTTTGTACCTGGAAGCCCAGTGGTAAAAAGTGTGAACCAATTGAAAGTCAACTTGCCTAGTCAGTCAGATCTGGAGGAGATAGGGCCTGAACTTGATAATCTGGGCAGATTCTCTGCTGTGACAATCCCAAGGTATCTAAATCTTGAGCCTTCTCTTGCAATGGATTGGCTTGAGATCTCATGGGATGAATTGCATATTAAGGAGCGCGTTGGTGCTGGTACTTCTCTTACTTTCCTTTTAATTGAATATAACTTTTTTTTTATTTTTTTCTTTTTCTAAGCATTTTTAAAGATCTGCTCCTAAGATAATTGGTGAAGTGAGTTCAAACTTTTTTGCTTTTAATTTTGTTTTGCAGGCTCATTTGGAACAGTTCATCGTGCTGAGTGGCATGGATCGGTTAGTATTTTTATCTTACAACAGAATATCATTGGTGCTGAAATTTCATGGATGATGACTTGATGTAAGGAGTCTGATATTAGTTTTTTCCTTTAATTGTTTCCTTTTGTTTATTTCTTTGTTTAGCTATATTATCAGCTTATTTTGGGATACTTTGCTTTGTCACAAGGTTGTATTATATTGCCTTCAGCAAATTAACAATTATCAGCTTATTTTTGGGATACTTTGCTTTGTCACAAGGTTGTATTATTGCCTTCAGCAAATTAACAATTGCGTTCCAAAGCAGGATGTTGCAGTCAAAGTCTTGACTGTCCAAGATTTTCATGATGATCAGTTGAAGGAGTTTTTGAGAGAGGTTTGTACTAGATAAAACCTAAAAAAAATTGTTATTATCTATATTATGTTAGCATTGCATCATTTCATTTGGCTGGATCCACTTTCTCAACGCATCCACATTCAATATTTGGCTTGGTATGTCCATCCTATGTCCTTTTCTCGAACATTTATTTCTGTGTTTCAATGCTTCTCCCTCCCTCCAAAGTCCTAACATTATTTTGCATTTTGTTTTGTACCTTGGTGGTTCTTTTCCCTGCGGGCTCCAGCGTGGTGCTTTACGGTGAAATGCACTCCTCTGGTTACATTTGTTTCTGCTGGAAAAGTTCTTTCCTTGTTATACATTTTGTTTTAAAGGAGCATGTGGCATGTTGTATATTCTTATGCATGACCAAGTCTGGTTAGAGATGGCAATCAATTAAAGTTTTGAGCGATGTTTCTAAAAAATCAGTGCTGAATCATTTTTGCCAATTATGCGAGTGATTGTAACATGGTTTAATGTGGTGGTACCATGTCATTAGATATAAAGCCTTGTGTCAAATACTCCTATTTTTGCATGTTATTGAGTGAGATGGACAAAGTCGTTTGATATGACTATAGCTTAAGTTTTGATGCATTATTTTATAGGTTGCTATAATGAAACGTGTCCGACATCCAAATGTGGTCCTCTTCATGGGTGCTGTTACGAAGAGGCCTCATCTGTCAATTGTGACAGAGTATCTTCCAAGGTAAATCAACTGATTTTATACTATGGTAATGACCAATGTTAATTTGCGAAAAGATATGTATGGCTAAGACCTGGTTTTTGTCTAACAGGGGTAGTCTATACCGCCTCATTCATAGGCCAGCTGCGGGGGAAACACTCGATCAGAGGAGGCGTTTACGCATGGCATTGGATGTGGTTTGTACTATTTTTAATACTATTTATGACACATTTTATTTATTAATGCTGCTTGCTGTCAGCACAAGATTAATGTTCTATATTGGACACAGGCCAAGGGGATCAACTATCTTCATTGCCTTAATCCTCCCATAGTTCACTGGGACCTTAAATCACCCAACCTGTTGGTTGATAAGAATTGGACAGTAAAGGTATGATAGAGTTTTTCATTTTGCGAATTTCTGTATTTGTCATTTCAACTGCATGACTTCATCTTATGTCATGCTCAGGTGTGTGATTTTGGATTGTCCAGATTCAAAGCCGACACTTTTATATCATCAAAATCTGTTGCAGGAACAGTAAGTACCCCATAACTTCCTTTTTCTCTTGCATAGAGACAAACTTGCTTGTGCACGCATCAATATAATTGAGCTTGCTTTTATTGTCAATTATTTCAAATAACTTGAAATATTTGATTTAAATTTGACTAGTTAGTTACCAACTGTTGCCAAAGATAATATCAAATATACAGTTTTGCGGCTGTTTTTTTTGTTAGCTATGTGGGTTGATTCAAATCATGACATAGTTTTCCTTATTAAAAGACAACAATCACAGTAATCATCATAAGACCTTTTTTATTTTTCGTTTTACTCCAATGATGAATATATACCATGATTGCAGACCTGCATCCGGTATTCCATAGAAAGTCAGACATTTCCGTCAATATCTTGCAGATTGAAAGTTTTTCTTCCCAGTGCATCAATCAGCATGTAACTCTCTTGCTTTCTTTTGCAGCCTGAGTGGATGGCTCCAGAATTCCTTCGTGGAGAGCCTTCAAATGAGAAATCTGATGTCTACAGTTTTGGAGTAATCCTGTGGGAACTCGTAACCATGCAACAACCTTGGAGTGGACTCAGTCCTGCGCAGGTAGATATATTTGGTTTTCCTTCTTTTCCTTTCTGGTTCTCTTCTTACAAGTCTCCGTATCCTATGCAATATTGAATGTCAATGTCGTTGTTGTTGTTGGAGTTATTGTAAAAGTAATATCAGATGCGTTTCCATGCTGTATTCTTACTTTTCCCCTTTCCTCCCTTTCTTTATGTCTAATGGTGGTAAAAATTCTAGGTGGTCGGTGCTGTAGCTTTCCAGAACAGAAGGCTTGCCATTCCTCCTAATACCTCCCCAAAGTTGGCTTCCCTCATGGAATCTTGTTGGGCCGAGTGAGTATGCTTAGTCCTATAAATTAGTCACTGCACTCCCATTTATATGATGATTACTTAAGTTGGGGAAATGTCTAAACTACGTGTTGTGTGTATGCATTAGCTTTAGAAAAAAAAAAAA